CTTTTATTGGTTGATTTCACTGCTTAAAAACCATACCTTAACCAGGCATGGTGGTGCAAGCCTGTAGTCCCAGCTACTCAAGAGGCTGAGGCAGGAGGATCACTTGAGGCCAAGAGTTCAAGGTGCTATGATCATGCTTCTGAATAGCCACTGCAGTCCAGCCTGGGCAACATAGCAAGACCTTCTCTCTAAAAAAAAAATTTTTTTTAAAGTATGTTTATAATTTCTTAAATGCTAGGGGATCATCCCAATAAAGAAAGCTACTCAAAAATCAAATAAGAAAGGTGTTGGTGGGATACAGCTTCCTTGCTTTTTGCCACCAGTTGGCAGGTTGGAATTTAAAGTATTTGGGTATTGGAAGCAGATGAGTCTCTGTGATTGATTATTTTTACCATGATTTGAACCTATTAGAGCCTCTGGAAAGAATGAGACAATAAGAAAAGAGAGGCACTCTCTATGTAAAACTATATATTTGGAAATTTGAAAATGCCGTTCAATTGTTAATAAGCCTTTGTTGAAATCAAATGTCTGACCCTTGGAGGCTGATAATTGTCAAGTCTGATGTGCATATTTTTGAGTGGGTCAGTTTGGACTCTAAGACTGACAGGATAAAAAAGAAGTCTTGCATGTCACTTGGACTTGTACTACAGCTGCCTGGAACTACAGCATGCCTTTGTTGTCGCTGAAGACTAGCAACTGGCTTGTTTGGAATCCTGAATTCGCAGATCCTGGTTGCCTGGCCTTGACTCTTAAGTTGAAACCTGCTATTGTCTGCTGTCAGCTGTTTCAGCCTCAGCATGAGGTATGCTGAACTGAAAGCAGACACAGGCTCAATGACCAGGACTCAAACCGCTGGGGCCATTGGAGATTTAGAACCCCCTCTGTGGAGGTTTAAACTGTGAAAACATCCTGGAACCTGGCTGGACTATGTGGGATCTGGGTCACATACAAACGACCACAGGAAAGGGCTTGTTCTTTAATGAGAACATCTAAAATCAAGCTGCTAGTGGGCTCTTTGTTTCTAATGCAAAGGTTAATTGCTTTCCTAACTTGTGATTTCTGCCAAAAGTTGCCAGCTGGGAAGGGTACATCATAGGGACGGTGACCCCTCCTCCTGCTTTTGACAGATCAGATGCTTGATCTTCTAGAGGCTTGTCTCACTGCTGTTGAACTCATTGTGCTCAGCTTTCTGGATTAGTTGCAGTTTGCAACAGTGGACTGATAGCCTGACTCTACTTCCTTCACTTTTCTCCCAGTACATACACCTTAGTAACATAGGTTGATTATTATTATTTTTTTAGGTTGATTATTAAAATGTAGCTGTCCCCAGAGAGGGAATGGTCCTTTCTAGGCTGCTCACTAAATAATCAGGACAGGAGAGGTGGAAGGTTATGTAAACCCATTTTGGAATTTTTGAAAATTCGGGATTTCATCCTTTATTAGTTTGCAAAGCTACCATAACAATATACCACAAAATGGGTGACTTAAATAATAAAAATGTATTTTCTTTTTTTTTTTGAGTTGGAGTCTCACTCTGTTGCCCAGACTGGAGTGCAGTGGCCGCTCCTGGCCACCGCAGCCTAGACCTGCTGGTCTCCGGCGATCCTTCCGCCTCAGCCTTCCGAGTAGCTGGAATTACAGGCATGCGCTACCATGCCCGGCTGATTTTTTGTTTTATTGTAGAGATGAGGTCTCGCTGCCCAGGCGGGTCTCGAACCCGCGGGCTCAGGCAATCCACTCACCTCAGCCTCCCAAAGGCGTGGGATTACAGGCTGAGCCACCGAGCCTGGCTCTGATCTCTTTTTATAAGGACACTAGTCATTTGGAGTTAGGGTATACCCTAATGATCCCATTTTAACTTAATCACCTCTTTAGGGTCTATCTCCAAATACAGTCACATTCTGAGATACTGGCCGTTAAAGCTTTAGCATATGAATTTTAGGGGACACATCATTACTAACTCCTGAATATGTCTCTCTGGCGAAGTTGTATAAAAATTTTTATCTGCAGAAATGTTTTTGTGCCTCTGAAATACAGTCCTTCCAGATGAAAGGTCTGGCTGAGAGTAAGAGATGATTGAAAACATGTAAAGTTAGGGTTGCTAAACGGAGTATATTGGTTTCGTAACATTGGAGAAAAAATAAAAACCTGGCACCTGGAGAGGCTTGATCTTTGTTCTTCACAACTATTCCTGGAAGCTTCCGCTTCCTGAAGGAAAATTCTTAGTGCCGCCTTTCCATATGCTGTGAGTGCTCTAGGTTCAGACTGACAGCAGAGAGGCCCAGCGCCAGCACTTTCCATGAAGAACCCCTCAGGTGTCCTCCACACTCATGAAATGGAGAAACTTGTATCATAAACAAGAAAAACTGTTTGGAACTCACTGCCTTCAGAGAGTCTCTCAGAAGCCAAAGATTTCAGGAACTTTCCGACAGGACTGGAAACACTTGAGCAGGAGGCCTCATGGTAGGAGACCACACTGAGGCCTAGTTATCATGCACTGCCTGACAAATGTGTGTCCTACCTGGGGTGCCCTAATACTGCAAATTCCTTGTTTCCAGGGGTACCACCTGTGCCCCCAGGGACTGTTCTTTTGTATGTGGCCCTTACTGTCACACTGCCTCAGTCCTGGAAGGCATTCAGGTCACCTTCAACTTACTGGCCGGAGTTGTGCTGTGCTTGAATTGATGCTTCAGGTCAGGTAAAAATTGTTCGTACAGAAACTTAAGGAAGAAGCCACCTGGCTTTCTAAGATAGACTATATGGTTAATTAGGGATTTATTTTAACTGGCTGAATCTAGGACCCCTAACAGGCAGCACTGAAGTTCACACTGCAGGTTGGTCTCACCAAGAAGCCTCAACAAGAAGAAAGATAATCAAGCAGGCCTGCAACTGCGATCCTTAGAAAGGCCTGTTTGCAAGGTTGATCTTTGTCTGCCATCTGAAAGCTTGGATTTTGGGAGGTTCTCCCAGTCCTTAAATGGCTCACTGTACCTGAACTATTTGTGCAAACAATGTGGTTTATACTGAACACCTGCTTTCCTTCTGGGAGTCTGGAGTTTTGGTATGTGTTAGGCAGAGGACGGTGACATGACCAGCTCCCAATAAAAGCCCTGGGTGCTGAGTCTCTATTGAACTTCCCAAGTATACAACGTTGTACAGGTTGTCACAACTCATTGCTGGAGGATTAAGTCCTGAGTGACACCATTGGGAGAGGACTCTGAGAGGCCTGTGCTTGGGTTCTTCTTTGTCCCCTGTACTTTTTCCTTTACTTGTTTTGTTTCATAACCTTCTTCTGTATTAAGCCATGGCCATAAGTACAACTATATGCTGAGTCTATGGGAGGTGGTGTTGGGAATCCGAATGCAGAAAGCAAAGGAGACCTGTGGGGTAGAGTGTTGGTAGTGTGCTCTTTCTCAGTCTGGGTGTTTACACAGAGTGTGTTCAGCTTATGAAAATTCACTAAGCTGTATAATTATGTACACATTTATATAAATATATTAAATTTCAACAAAAAGTTAAAATAGAAGAATTCACACCATGAAGATACAAAATACTTTTATAAAACCTTTCTTTTATTCAGTAAATACCTTAGTAAATACCTCTTTTTACCAAGTACTGCACTAGGAGCTGGGGACATGGGTTGGGAAAAAGTTTAATTGCTACTCAGCTTGTCTGGCAGCAGGTATGGGATGCTTACAATATGGTTGACTTGCTGGATTCCGTGAAGGACCTCATAGGGCACTAAGGAGCACACAGAAAGCGCTCTTTTTTTTTAAAATCTGAGTCTTTGTCGACCAGGCTGGAGTGCAGTGGCACACTCACGGCCACTGCAGCCTTGACCTGCTGGGCTCAGGCGATCCTTCCGCCTCAGCCTTCCAAGTAGCTGGAACTACAGGCGTGTGCTACACCTGGCTAGTTTTTTTGATTTGTTGTAGAGGTGAGGTCTCACCAATTTGCCCAGGCTGGTCTCAAACCCATGGGCTCAGGCAGTCCTCTCACCTCTTAGCCTCTTAAAATGCTAGGATTATAAGCATGGGCTACCGCGCCCGGCCAGAAAGCACTCCTAACTTGGGTATTTTGGTGCTCCAGGGTTGCCATTCAAGTTTCTACATGAACCAGGCAGGCAAATGGGCAAAGGGGGGTAGCTGGGAGCTGTGGCAAACCAGGAGTGTATGCAGGCATAAGAGTAGCTAGAGTTTCTGATTATTTCAGAAATCTGAATTTTTATGTGAGCTCTTTTTAAGTGCTGTAAATGAATTCCAATTTTAAAAAGTGGGAGGCCAAACAAAATACCCCTGCAGGACGAATTTGACCATGACCTGCCAGTTTGCTAGACCTTCTCCCAACCGAACCTCCCTCTGACCAAAAAGTTGTGTCCACTGTTTTAGGCACTGGAAATACAACAGTGAGCAGGCCATACAGTTTTGTTGTGTAATGGGGAGCTCTGGTCCTGTGATTTTCAAACTTAAGTATGTGTAGGAATCACCTGGCAGTCTTGTTGAACGGCAGATTCTGACTCGGGAGATCTGGGGTAGGGCCTGAAGACTTGCCTTTCCCGTTCTAACAAGCTCCCAGGTGGTGGTGATGCTGTCTGCCCCTGGGACTGACTATACTTTTAAGTAGTGTTGCTGTATAGTACAGAAGAGCTCCGGTGCTGCAGTTATTTGACAGAGCAGGGCGAGGGGATTTGTCATGCAGGTGCTTTTGTCTGGCAAGCACTCTTTTCTTTAGATTTTAGTTCATTTGGGGTGGCTTGGCAGAGAGCTGGTAGCATTGGAGACAAGTGCTAAGGCTCTCCTAAGCTACCTCCTGGCGCTGCCAGGTCTCTAAGAGCTTATATTCTAAAAGGTGGGGTGGGGGTGGGACTGGAAAAAGATGTTAGGAAAAGCTTCCTGGAGGAGGCGCATGTGAACTGCAGGAGCTTCCTCAGCCGCCCTAGAAAGGGACAAACTCTGAAAGAATTCCTCCTTCCCAGGGGCTGGGTCTCGGCATCCCCTCGCTGGCTACAGTTTCCCAGGGTATCCCACGTGTTCAGGCTCCCTGTCAATCAAGTGTTTTCCGGGCTGTATACGGGTTTAAAGGCGGCTGGGTGCAGAGCGCTCCCATGGTGCCGCGCGGCGGGCGAGTTTGGATTTTAAATCCCCGCGGCCAATCAGTGGCGCGCAGGCTTTTGTAACGTTCCCAGCGCCGCGTTTGAATTCGGGGAGGAGCAGAGTTGTGCGGAGCCTCTGCCCCGGCCCTGCCAGGTCTGCCGAGCTACTCTGGCAGCATGAGTGCGGCGGTGACTGCAGGGAAGCTTGCGCGGGCACCGGCTGACCCGGGGAAAGCCGGGGTCCCCGGAGTTGCGGCTTCAGGAGCCCCGGCGACGGCTGCCCCGGCAAAAGAGATCCCGGAGGTCCTAGTGGACCCCCGCAGCCGGCGGCGCTATGTGCGGGGCCGCTTTTTGGGCAAGGGCGGCTTCGCTAAGTGCTTCGAGATCTCGGACGCGGACACCAAGGAGGTGTTCGCAGGTAAGATAGTGCCTAAGTCTCTGCTGCTCAAGCCGCACCAGAAGGAAAAGATGTCTATGGAGATATCCATTCACCGCAGCCTCGCCCACCAGCACGTCGTAGGCTTCCACGGCTTTTTCGAGGACAGCGACTTCGTGTTCGTGGTGCTGGAGCTCTGCCGCCGGAGGGTGAGTATCGCCGCTGGGGGACTGGAGCTGCCTGGGAGCCAGGTTGGGGCGCCGGCACCCAGAGCTGCTGAGAAGGAGTACCGGGAGGGGGGTGCCTAGGGCTTGGAGCTGTAGAGAAGGGTGCTAGGAGCCTCCAGCTGAGGGTGGAAAGGGTTTTTGGTAAGAAGTGCTTGGCACTTGGAGCTGCAAGGGGACGGGGCTCCAGAAGTGGAGTCTGGATCATGGTGCTGATAGAGAAGTCGGCTCCTAGAGGCGAGGTATTGGGGGAGGGGATGAGGGTAATGGACGCTAGAGTCCCGGAGTGCCAGAGGAGCAGTCCCAGTCTGGGAGTGCGAAGGCCCCGGAGCTTCCGGAGTGGAGCTGAGTCAGGGAGGTGGTTGGAACCAGACTTCGAGCTTCCGGGGAGAGAGGGTTCAGGATAGGTATCTGCTCCTGGGAGGGGGCCCTGGAGGAGCTACTGGGGACTCTTGAGCTTCCAGCGTGGGGCTGGGAGAGGAGTTCCAGATAAGGTTAGGGGCTGCTGTGAATGGTTGTGGCCAGTGTTAGGGCTGGGTCTAGATCCCAGTAGTCCTGAAGAAGGAATGGGGGTGAAGGGAGGCTCAGGGAAGGAGAAATACCTGCCAAGATCCCTCTTTTATCCCCCTGGGGGTTCAGGATCTGGCTCTGGGCTGCCTTTACCTTGGAATTCTCCCCCTTCAAACCTGAGGCCTCAATACCACCTCCGCATTCCTCCTGCCCTCTCTCCCTGGCCCCCCAGTCTCTCCTGGAGCTGCACAAGAGGAGAAAAGCCCTGACAGAGCCTGAGGCCCGATACTACCTGAGGCAAATCATTCTTGGCTGCCAGTACCTGCACCGAAACCGGGTTATTCACCGGGACCTCAAGCTGGGCAACCTCTTCCTGAATGAGGATCTGGAGGTGAAAATAGGTGAGGTGCTGGGCCTCAAGGGTGCCTGACACCACTACAAGAGGTGGAGATTTGGAGGAGGCTGGGAGGAAGGAAATAGGAAAGAGACAAGGAGGAAGGAAGAGGATGGTGGGAAGTCTGGGCTGTTGATTGCCTCTAGAATTCTCTTTAGTCCAGAAATTTAAAAGAGCCCACAAATCAGTATCTTGCCTGCAGATACATGATTTTTGCGTCCCAACACAGCATTTTTTTTTTTTGTTTGAGTTGTTTTTATTTTTTAAATTGGGAGATTTGACATAAAAACTTGGGTCTGGAGCTCCTTTTAAACAGTTGGAAGCTCCAGCAATACAGGGACAGCATTCCCTTAGAGCAGCTCTTTGCTAGGCTGAAAAGCATCTGTCCCCTTTAGACTCCCTCTGGTTTGCCATGGTCTCCACCCCTCCCTATATGTCTTGTAAGTTACTTGCTTGATTCTTGAAGGCATTTGAGTTTTGCGATCTCTGTCAATTCCTTTATAGAAGCGTAGTCTTTCTTTCTAAGGGGAAGTGCAAGAAGGGAGGCTCTCTTGGGCCAGCATGATGGGACGAATCCTGGGCAAGCCTCCACAAGGAGTAGAGGCTTGTGGGATCAAATGACCCTCGTTCTTGATGGTCGAACCTGAATAGCCACCTGCATTGATAGATGGCAGAGGCTGGCGCCTGAGTACCCTCTTCCTCCCTCTGCCCCAGGGGATTTTGGACTGGCAACCAAAGTCGAATATGACGGGGAACGGAAGAAGACTCTGTGTGGGACTCCCAATTACATAGCTCCCGAGGTGCTGAGCAAGAAAGGGCACAGTTTCGAGGTGGATGTGTGGTCCATTGGGTGCATCATGTAAGTTGGGAGTTGTCTCAGAACCTACCCAGCCTCAGCAGGGGGCCCCTTTGGGACGTCTTAGCCGACTGACCTTTTCCTGTGGGTCTTTCTGTCTTGTGGAAGGCTCAGTTCAGAGGACAGGCTGCCCTGAAACAAAGCTAATTCCCTTATCTTTCTTTGTCACTCTGGTGTGTCTATTTGAAGGGGGAAGGAAAGTCACCATAACCTACCTCTAGTCCCTTGCCAGAGTGGTCCACAGATCAGTGTCATCATCACCCGGGGACTTGTTACAGAGTCTCAGTACCCAGACTATTTACTGGATCAGAATCTAGATTTTATCAAAATCCTGGGGTGATTTCTGTGCACAATAAAGTTTTAGAAACACTGATGAGCACTGGGTGGGAGAAATGAGGCCAGGAGTTATGGCTGGCAGGAGGAGGTGCCTGTCATCTGTCTGAATCGAGACCATCAGAGGGGATGGTGACAGATAGAGACTTTGGCCTCTTCAGATATTATCTTTCTTTTTCTTAGCTTGGGTACTGGAGAGTTAGAACTGAGTTGTAGCAATGACTTACATGCTTCCTTTGCAATGGAGCTTTTCTCAAATGAAAATGTCAAGCCTTAAGTACAGGATTATTAAACATAAAGCTGTGCTGTAGAAACAGGTAGCCCATGCACTTGGCCCTTTTTGGATGACCAGCAGCCTCTGAGGACCTTGCATAGAGTCCTAGATTACTGGAAGCTTCAGTTAAAAAATCACTGGCCCATAAGAATCCCGGTCTCATCTCTTGTATTCTACTGAGGGCTCATCCCAGACAACATCCTGGTTTCTGGGGCTGCTGAATGCACTTGGGGATTGTCTTCAGGGGCCTCAGAGTCAGAGTGAGTGCCTAGGGGATGCCTGGCCTTTGTTCTGGCCTTGAGATCATCGCTTCTGTGTCTAGGTTTTGTCTGGAAGCCTTGCGCCAAATCCTACCTTGTGCTTACAGGTATACCTTGTTAGTGGGCAAACCACCTTTTGAGACCTCTTGCCTAAAAGAGACTTACCTCCGGATCAAGAAGAATGAATACAGTATTCCCAAGGTGACTAACACTTTATGTTGAAATCTATTTTTCCAAAAGATATTTATTGGGCTCAGCTATATCCTGGGGTCAGAAATAGGTCAATCCTACACCTAGGAAATTCACAGAACTTTAGAGGGCCTGTGACCTGAAATTGCATACAGAACTTGACATGTAGTACATGTAAGCGTGTTTTCTTCCTGGGGGGGAATTTGCAGATTCTTGGAGATTGAGTAAATGACCCAAAAGATGTTTAAAAGCAAAACACAAAGTTGGAAGGGAAGAAGGTAGAAATACTGACGCTTTGAAAATGGATTGTAGCCGGGCTCCATGGCTCAGCCTGTAATCCTGCGCCTTGGGAGGCTGAGGTGAGTGGATTGCCT